AATGTCACTGTTATGGAAGAGAGTACTTTGTTGCTTGAAAGCATTAATTTAGAAGGCGATTCGAATGTGTATATCAAAGACTTAAATGTCTTGTTTGTATTTACAATGCAAGTCAGTGGCAACACTTTATTGCAAATAGATGCTCAAGAAATACTTTTTGATATCATCTTTGTCATTTTCAAAGAAAATTCACAACTTGTTATGTACAGTACAAAAATATTTAATAGGAACAAAGTCGCACTTTTTAATGGCGAAGTATCTTTTTATAATAAATCTCAATTTGTACTCAAACAAAATGTCAATTTGTCAGTCACAATTCGACTCTCGTTCTTTGATTATTCACATTTTAAACTGAATGGGTATATCCATTCATCCATTCAAGAAAATTTGGACGAGGAAAACGGACTGTTTTTTTATGATCACTCAACTCTTGAAATTTTTGAATATTCCCGAATCGAAAATTTTAGTTCCATTGTACTTGAAGACTTATCAAAAGCATATTTTACAGGAGACCTATTTATTGAAACTGCTCTATTTTCATTATATGATTCATCAGTAATAATATTTAGCACTAACTTGACTTTACGTGTTAATTCTCGTATACAATTTTATGACAACTCATCTGCAACATTCTTGAATAACGTTACAATGCACATCTTCTTTCCAACAGCAATTCCAGATGATTTATTCTCGTTTTGCTTATTGTCGTTCAACGATCACTCACAAGTTGAATTTAGTTCAACGACATTTTTGAGTGTTAATTCTTGTGTAGAGTTCGCCAATTATTCTTCTTCGATATTTCCAAATGGCTCGCAATTTGAAATTTCAAATGGGCTGTTCTTCTATCGTGGAAATTCCTCAGAACAAGAAAAGATGAAAATTTTGATAACATCGGGCGCCTTGTTTTATATATATGGTAAACAGTACTCCACTTTAGAATGTCAAAATATAATTTTTTTTTCAACGGAATATCTAGTGAGGAGGTGTTGTGCATTTTATTTGGGGTCAAATATTAATTTTACAGTTAACAAACCTTCTATATACGAAAAGCCACTGTTCACTGTTTTGAATGGAGGAGTCTCTATCTCTCCATCTTCAATTTACTCTGAAAGGTGTTTTGATATTCTTTCACGATCAAAGCCGTATAACATTTTGAACGCAGGAAGTGAGTTTTTGATTACTTTAGCTGATGGGAAGTTACGTCGATATTGTCCAGAGAACACACCTAAAATTGTGAACACTTCGGTGTATCAAAATCTTTTGTTTAACAAAGAAATGAATTTAATGACGGACGTCTACTGTCATATGAATGGAAGTGTAATGCATACAATTTATTTTGACCATAGAAACGACTTCGGCTTTTCTAATCCGCACTGTCCTTATAAACATAATGATACGTACCCTTTACTAGTCATTGCTGAAAAATCAAATATTGTAATTCCAAACGAAGTAGACCAGAACTTAAGTATTCACTTCATGCAAAATTTCTTAGTAAACGTTCAGGTTCAATCAACACGAAGAACAAAAATCACTGGAAATTTTGGGGTCGTTGGGAAGGAAAAGATGTTTAAAGTGCTCATCCCGTCGTGTTTAAATTATATAGAAAGAAGTGCGACTTTCTCTTATTTAAATTCTACTTTTATAGTAAATTGTGAAGATGTACATCTTCCACTTAACGACTCTGTTTATAGCCGAGTTGGCATTGGTGATGACAATTATCGAGTTAAAGGATTTTCTAATATTCCACTGGTTTTATATATAACACAGCAAACGATTTACACAACTTTCAGGATATATAAATGTACTCAAGGAATACTTTTACTCACAAATACATACATTCAAAGTGTATCTGGCAAGTTATATGATAATGTATATTATTATAACTCACAACTTTTGGGTGATGTCAAACATGAAGGTAAAGATTTACAAAAGTATTACTATGATAAAACAAGTGGATATATAGAATGTCCAACAAATAGTATTTCCTGTG